AAAAAAAAAATACAACTTTTAAATAAGTGTTACTTATGGGGTGTTTGTGATTGCTTATTTAAAACAGCTTATGTTTTTTTTATCGACTTATATGGTGACAAACTGGAGTTTGTTAAAAAGTGTTTGGATTAACTTATGACAGTACCACATCGGATAAGCTGATAAAATCGATAGAGATATCCTTTTTTTTTCTCATCAAAACACTAAAACTTCTTATTGTCTGTACCACACCGTAATAAGTTAGAAAAAATTAACGCATTAAAAACTTCTTATTACCGGTGCCAAACTGGTATAAGCATTTTTTTTTTACATTCAAACACTAAAAACTCCTTATTATCAGTATCATACCGAAATAAGTTAATAAACACTTTAAATAAGCATTCTCAAACACCCCTTAATACTTGCATAAAAAATTTGGCTAATCAAGAAAATTACCATTATACTCTTTATTTTAATTTTAAATTAAAAAAATAATGAAATGATATTGATACCGAATAATTTCACAGAATAAATCCTGTGAAAAACACGATCGCCTGCTAGTGGAAGGTTTTCTGCAAAAGCGAATGTTCAAAGCTTTCAGYGGGCTAGAGTCGTCTTCTTGCTGTTGTTCCTTCCGCACCTTTTCCTCAAAATGAGAAAGAAGATAGATCAATTTTTAGCCGAGGTTGGTCCGGCCTTCGCAGGATCGTAACCATACCCAACATCGGCTATCTCTCTTCTGCCTCCAATAACCCATTAGTCTCTTACTCCCTTCCTACCGCTCAAAAACTGATTAACTCATGATCTGTTTTGCTAATGTCGATAAATGAAAATGAAAATGATAGGGAATGAATTTCATTCCCTCCCCCGTAGTTTAACCAGGAATGGAATTTTGGGCTTTTAGATGAATGAGTCCATTATATTATAGAAAACCAAACAGTTTCTTTTATTTTCATTCTTATTGATTACTGTTAAATATCTCAAATCAAACACCCCCTCAGTCAATCCAACTTGATGTTTAATTGAGATGATTTTTTTTCTTCTTCTAAATAATAGGTATTTGATTGGAATTGAGTTACGATCATTTGAACCAATCCAACCTAATGAACCCAATATTCTTTTTATTTCTTAAATTTAATATGATTGTTAAGTTTATTGATATGTACATTAGATAGTTACATCATCATGTACCCTCTTCATATACATAATTTTGCACTCTCTTATTCATTTCTATATAGCTCATTCGTATATATGTTCAGTAAATGTGAAGATATATATGTAAATTGAGAAAAATAGTTGCATATGATATACTTAAATTTTAAGGAAATATGGACAAATTGTACCAAATGATTGATAATGGAAAGATGAATGATAACATCATATTCAATGTTAAAAAAATATTTTGATGTATCAAAGTATCAGCTCGATCACCCCGTACGGTTTTGGTTGGTTTGCACTTTGGTTTTGATTGAAACTTTTCAAACCGTAAACATTAAATTTCTTTGTTTAAATGTCTTCAATCCCATCAACCCAAATCATGACCACCACCACTTCCTATCCCCGTTTCTTTTGTATCAATGTCAACAGAACCCCTCCAAGGAATTATTTGTTCACAAATTATCGTTATCAACAATGTTGTTGGTCTTCTCATCGACAAACCCCTTGCAAGGAAACACTCTTCTATGTTTTTCCAATCGAAAACCAGTAGAAGTTTTAGTTTTACTTACTCTGGTTGCCAAGCATTTCGTAATCATTTTTTTTAACATTCTATGGGTTGGATTTGGTGTAAATTACACCAACTTAAAACTTGGTAATCTCTTTTGATGTTTATATATATATATATATATATATATATATATATATATGACAATTACAAATTAAGCTATAGATCCATTAAAGCCTTAAATATTTTTAAATTTATTTATAATAAGATGTTTTTGAGTAGGAATAATAGATAATTTTATAGAAAAATAACATTAAAATAATGCATTAATTTCATGAAACTGAAATATAAACATGTCTTAAATGTTTTTACTTTTAGTAATATGATTCTATTTAATGTTCTTTTTTAGCTTTCTAGGAAATTTCCTAGAATTTAATAATCATAATTAAAAAGAATTTTAATTTTATTATTTGGATAATTCCACTAACTTTAAACTATCTTGACCAAGAAAAACATTTGTTTATTTTAACTTTTATAAATACTCGTGCTCACGTTCTGCCTTTTTAATATAAACTTTAGCCATCAATTCCGAATTTATTTATATTAATACTCCTATATTTGTATGAAAATTGACGAAAAGGCCCCCTTTTTTTTTTTTTCGTGAATTGGTATTCTAGTTATTTCTCTTTCTTAGTTATTTAAATATCACCACTTTCGTAAGTGGTATATCTCCTATTTACGAACCTAGCTAAAAGAAAAAAAAAAATTCAAATTCAACTCAGGTCCGCAATTGCGACGGTCATGTCTGAAATTGTTACTGCAAGTCTGCAATTGCGATGATACCACGTACTAAACTGGGTTGATTTTGATTATTTAAGTCTATTATCTAGGTCCAAAAGTGGGGAAGGTGGCACTTGTGAATGTAGTAATATTTGGATAAATTGAAGAGATAAATGATTAGAAGACCAAATTATAAGAGATGAACGACTATTTTGACCAAGTCCCCTATTCTTTAAACTCTCCACATTTGAAAAAAAAAAGGTTGTACTTTTTTGAGCTTGTTTAAACAAATATATGGACAATATATGGTATGTGCTTTGTCAAAAATAACCCTTGTATAACTTCAAAATTACAAGATGACTTTTGTGGTTTGTAAACACATCCGTCTTTCTAATAAACGTTAGAAAAAGAGACAAAATCCAGAAGTTTTTACAAATCATAATAATCATTGGGGTTGATATTGTCACCTCCTGTGATGACTTTATACCCCCTGTCAAATGTTCCCCTCTCACACACCATCTCCTCTCACACCATCTCCCTCACATATCGCTCTCCTCACACTCACACTGATTCACTTTTTTTTTTAATTTTAAAAATTTAAATTTATATTTTATATCTTTATAATTAGTTAATTAATTTACTTTATGTCATTTCCTATTAAATTTTTCATTTTATATCCTGATCAAATTAACATACATAATCGAATATCATTTAAAGTATGTTTAAAAAATACGTTTTAATTTTAACAAGTTACGCCATTATAATCGTCGCGTCAATACCTTCGAAATAAGTCTAATATTGAATATTTTTTGACTTAATTATATTATTATATATATTATATATTATGAAAAAATATTTTTAATATTTACATTTATAGTTATTTATTTAATTTATGATATGTCATTTGTTTTTTCAATTTTTGTTTTACATCATTATCACATTAAAATACATAATTTTATATTAACTAAAATACATTTTAACATATCACGTTAAATTCTATCTCATATACTGATACATGTTACATTATGAACAATAATATCGACATTAAGTACAAAATACGTTAGGAAAATATGTTTTAACATGTGTACCCGTTTACATAATTGTAAAAATAATTTGATTTAAAATAAAGTAAAGTTACTGATTTGAAATAAAGTAAAGTTATTGATTTGAAATAAAGTAGGGGTTGATAAAACATGTATTATTAATATTTTATTAATTAATAATAATATAAAATTAATTTATTTATATAATTATAACACAAACTAAAAACATAAAAAATGTCATTATAAAACATGTAAAAAATATAAAAGGTTAAAAGTTAGAATATAAAAAAGGTTAGGGTTAAAAATTAAAATACAAAAAAGTTAAAAATATAAATATATTAGATTTGTCATTTAATTGTTTTTTTGTCCATTAGCATAGAAGGAGGTGGATAAATTTGTTAGGAGGGAATGAGGTTAGAAAACCCCAATCATTTTTATTCAATAATTGTTAGTAATAATTTTTGGGTTTGTACATAAAAACAAATTAAAAAAAAAAAGAGTCAAAAGAGTTTCCATGTGACTAACCCTGTGTAAATTTAAAAAATGTGGCAGTTAGTTCGTGTCAGTCTCAGGTGGCCGGCTGAAATCGTATTACAAAATGGGGGACCATTTTTGTCGTTTTCAAATATTACCTACTTTTTTCTTATTTATATATTTTTTTTCCCTTTTTTTACTCAGCAAAAAATAGATATTTAATTTATAGACCATGTGTGTGTGTTTTTTTTTTTTTAAATTATAACTTGTTTTAAAACTTGTATAATACATAAATTCGCTAGGATGTTACGTCACTCTCAAGGACACATCATGTTCGATGTCGTTCTTATGGTATAAGGATCGACTCTCATATCATTTGTAATACCATAAGTCGATGTAAAAGAATAATTCAATAACTTTAAATTTAACTGAAAGTTATGATAGTATTTGTTGATATATATTTTTATCTCATCCGAAACAAACAAAGTTCGATGTTATATTCTCTCTCCTACGAATTAAGATTTGAAGATTTTTTTAAATATGTAAATATATTATCTTTAATCATCGTTTTTTAATTTTAAAAATTAGTTATGTACTCTTTTGTGGCCACATAGGTTCAAATATGGTGACTCCAGGTTATCTGCAAAACAGATGGTTGTCCTGTGATTGGTCAACTTGCAAAATGAATTAGATATACAGGTTAATTAAAAAAAAGCATGTTTATCAATTAGTTTTAATTCACTGCATTTTGCAATTCACATTATTTCTAAGATTTTTTTTACTTGTATTGCTCTTTTTTGTTTTTATTTCAAAATATTAAAACTACATAAAATTTCAATCAATAATTCCCAAAAAAAGGAAAAAAGAAAATGACAATTTCGATTGAAACCAAATCTGGATTTTGCCCATTTTCACTCCAACAAATTGAATGGGGGTAATCAGGGTAAATATGTACAAGTAAAAAGGTTAATTTTTTGGTCTTTGCATTGGAGACCTGTACCCTACAAGCTTTTAATGCAAGAAGAGCACTTGCCGTTTATGGTTGACGTCGGCCGGAGAACTCAATTGATCCGTTGAGAAAGGCTTCTCCAGAACCCCGTCCCGTAGAATTTCTCCCACATCTCGTTCTCTAACTCCATTAATTCTTCATCGGCGTCCATGGATTGCATCAAGAACCGTTCGCCGCCCGCCGAATGGAGCAAGAACTCCCTTCCGTCGATACTGATCCGGTGGGTGCTGCTGATATCGTTAACGCTGCCTGCATTCGGGATCAACAACCCTTTCTTCAACATCCGTCTACGGCGCTTCTTCCTTAAAGCCTTCCGGCACAAACCCGCCGGAACCTTGTACACGGCCAACACCAGGAAGTTAACCACGGTGCAGGGGAAGCAGCAGACCACCGCTGCACATTCAGCCGTTGTCCCTCCGGCGACCTCAGCGATCCGGTGGCTACTACGTGTCGAACACTCCTCTGGATCAAACAAAAACTGCCGGCGATCCATTGGAGACTGATGAAACACGATTTGTTGTTTTGTCATATATAATATAACCGTCTTCAATCAAAACCAACCAAAGCAATTCAACGAGAAAAAAACAATAATTCCCAATTCCCAATTTTCTTGTGAGAAATCTGGACTCAATCACCGTCCGACGAACGGCTTATACGACGTCGGAATCGATGGGTTTGAGAGATCTCCAGGCCATATGGTGTCTTCGTCGTCGGGATATAGCGGATTGAGTTAAACCACGACGACGAACCAATTAGATTCGCGAAACGGTTGGAGGATATAAGTAATGATCGAATCAAAAGGGAGATGATGGAAGGCTGATACAAATCTTGATCTCCGGAATCGTCGGAAAACTATAATATTAATCTGCAAATTCGCCGGATCCTACTGCGAGTTTTTATCAACTCCTTCTGTCTCTCTCTCTCTAACAGTTTCTCTCTCTCTTACAAAAACACAAATATATATATACATATATATTCTAGAAAGATGGATGATGATGGGTGAGGTCAGATCGAAGAGAGCAGACAATGGGGCCAACGGTGGTGTGTGTGTTCTTGGTGTTTTTTATATGTGTGGATTTTTGTGTTGAATACAAATGTTACGTAACCGATGCGGACTCATTTATAAACATCTTGTTCATGAAAAATAAACTGTCTCTTTTGATCTTGTAAATAAATATCTACCTTCATTTTACCAAAATAATATTAATACAATAATTACTTAAATTAATTTCATACATTTGAAATAATAACCAAAAACCTTAAATACGCTATACATACGTAACTTATTGGTTCATCACAAATTGAAACATTAACACAATTGATCGTCTATCGAACCACATTTATCGATAATGGACAATATGTATCATTTAGAACAGTAACAATTCCACTTACTTTTAAATCGATAAAAATGCAGTTTAGACGACTAGCAAAACAAGAAAACTAGTCGATCGATCACAACTCATTGATCCGAGCATGTCAAATCCTAACAAACTAGAATTAGTGCTCCTATCTTGTCTTTGTCTTCCACAATATCACGTAGAAAATGAAATTCTACCTATGTTTTCTTCTTTCATGTAACACATGATTATTTGACGATTTGATAGAGGGAATGTAATTCACTTACAAAATTCCTTTCGTTCTAGTCTTTTTGGTAACCATGAGTTTTTGGATCAACCTACATGCATCGACTAATACCCAGCAGGACGACTACAAATGGCCTGGAGTGGCCACAAGGATTTTGGCAGTGTCTCGGTTCGAACCCAGGATAAATGAGATATTCCACTACATGCATCTCTTGAGGGTTAACCAATGCCCCATATCTCAATTAATTATATAGATATTGAATAATAGTTAGGGAAATCCACAATAAGCTCGGATGACATAATTGATCTGCATTTCAAAATCATACATGTTATTTATTACTAGAAATGTACTCGTACAATAGAGCGAGATACATCTCAATTTTAATGTTTTGTTTTATTCTTTATTTCTGTAAATGTTATAAAACGGTTTTGTGGTTTTGAAAAAACGGTTTTGTGGTTTTGAAAAAACGATAACGTTTTTATTTTTGAATAGATATAAACTTGAAGATATCTTAAAACTTTGAAAAAAATATATAGATATTATTATCAAATTAACTATTTAACAGTTCTCGTTTTTTATAATTTCTCTAATTTTTTTTGTTATGATTTAATCTAGACTTAATAACGAAGTAATTTATTTTTTGTTTAATAATACAAGTTTTATAAAAACAACAATTAAGTATTATATTATTACTTTTTTGATAGGGAGGGGGGAGACCCCTCCAGATCAAGGCAAAAACACTAAAACAACAAAATACGCTCTCGGGTGAGGGCGAACCACATCCACCAGAATCCAAGGCACCCAGAAGGGAAAGAAGGGGAGAAGAGGAGAAGAGGGAAGAAAAAAGGGAGAAAGAAGCAGAGAGAGGAAGAGAGACAGAGACAGAAGCCGACCACACGGGAGGGGCCCGGTCAAGCCTAGACCGGGAAGCAACGGGGGACACCACAGGGGCAGGAAAAGGGGCCTAAAAAAGGCACACCCTAAACCGCACCAAGAAAAACCAGGAGAGCAGAAGAGCTCACACAAAGCAGACAAAGCAGCACAAAAGAAAACAGACAGCTAAGGGAGGTTCCAGGCAAGCCGAGCCCGGACAACGTTAGGGGAGGGCTTAAAAGTCAGGCAAAGGAGTCTGGACCGGACATCATCAGAAATCGTCTTACCAACCATAATATGCGATCTTCTCTTGCTCTTGAAGATACGGTTATTTCTTTCTTGCCACAGGTGGTAGACAGTCCCAACAAGCACTAAGCGACGAATGATAGACCAAATGGTCTTTCCTTTTGTGACCTGCTGGAACAAACCAATAATATCATCCCAGTTATCCGGGACACCATCGAGGTACAGCTTGGCTTTTAAACCATTCCAGACCAGATTAGGGAACGGGCACTCAAAGAAAAGATGCGAATGCGAATCAGGCCCGTTCTGACAAAAAGCACAGGACAGGTCGGCATGGGCCTCCCAGAACTGGAGTTTATCGTGCGTCTTGAGACGCTACTTGAGAGCAACCCAAAGAATGAAATGATTATCTTAATTATATTTTAATTTTTTTATATTTTAAAAGAGATATTTATCCTTATTTGATTATGTTTATCTGTTATTAGTTACACGGATTCAAACATGTAGCTTTATTAAGTTGTACTTACACACAATTTATTTGTAATCTTGAATTTTAAGTAATGTGCATCAATAAACAATACTTTATGTATAAAAAATGATTTTTAAAAGTTTCTGTCAAATGTTTTATAATATAGTATAGATAAAGCATTTAAAAACTTAATTAATGTATTTAAAATTTTTGATTCGATTTTAAAGATTTCATTGTTTAAATAATTATATCAAATCGAACCAAACCAAACCGTCTACGTTTCTAATCGTGACTCTTGATAATTTACAACACGTCTTCTCCCATTAACTAAATTGTTTTTTTAGACAATTCTTATCATTTAATGACTTAATCAAATTCATTTAAAAAATAAACATTTTAAATATAATTTTAAAGAATATAATTCTATTGACTTTTATTCATAAATGTATACATTTATTAAAGAAGTTGATAAGTATTTTTGGGACTACGACACCTCAATAATTGTTAAGCATGAAATTATTTATTTATTATGGTTAGATTTAGAACAATTACGATCAAACGTCATAATTTAGATTTTAAAGTATATTATATATATATATATATATTATTGTGAATTATTTTTGTTATTATGATATATAGTATATCAGATCTTGACATTGACACTGATTCATCACCACGTTGTTCCCAATTTTCAGTATTAGTATAGTCATAGAATCGTAAAAGCATCGGGGTTTTTCAAATTTTTGTCTTTCCTATATCGATCATGTACCTTATTATGTAAATTTAGTGATCACTTGAACCTCCATGCTTTTTAGCACGAGATTTTGAACGTTGTGGACTATTCCTTCTTTACCTTCAATTATATATGAAAACAACTTGTAAGATTTAATTACATGACACGTACAAATACATACAAATAATTGTTGTCTAGAATGAAAAGGTTCCTTTCGATCACCATCAAACATTTACGTATTAAAATGATTGATTTTGAGTGGTCATCAACGGAAAAACCACAAACATAGCCATGGGACATAACCGCCCTTTTTGTGTTCTATTATTCTTGTATCTTTCTCATCGTATTCAGATGTTGAAAACGTTTTTTAATCATATAAAATTAAAAAAAAAACATACAAAATAAATGTAAAATATTGTATAATTCCTCTTACATCCATTATTTAACAAATATAGGAAGCTAAAATTAGAAAAAAACATCATTGATTTTCTACATTCGCTTCTTACCCTAATTTACGTTATTTCTTATATGTGAGGAGCAGCCACTAATATAACTAAGGGGTCGTTTATTAAACACTTACTTGGTAAGTGCTTACCGGATAAATTTCCTTATCGGATGAACATGAGAATGGCCAAAAATCTTACCGGGTAAGAGCGATGAGAATGATAGAAAGAGTCTTACCCGGTAAGTGAGGATGACGACTCTTACCTAGGTAAGCGTTTACTTAGTAAATTGTTGCATTTTATATATTTTGATGTACTAAAATCTTGCTCATCAAAATAAATCACAGTGTTGACTTTTATCGGTAAGCGCTTATCGGATAAACAATTGGATAAACGACTCCAAACCTTTGATAGGTTTAAGAGGAAGAAATCCCTGACAGGTTTGAAGAACCTGTTAGACACCCCTTTAGTAAAAGGAAAAAAAAATGTATTTTAAAATTAAAATAAATCGTTACTAACAATATTAAAAATCAAAATATATTTATAATTTAATGATAAATGTATATATTTATTTATTTATACCCGTACTATATACATATATTAATTATTAAATAGAATAAAAAATAAATTTGGATGGAATTAGTGGGTGATAATACCATCACCAATCTCTGAGATATGAAAATATGGATGAAATTTGCCACAATTCCCGTTGGCGTTCATGTCTTTAAGATAGAGGGGTGACATGGATGGGGTGAGTCAGCATGTGATAAGGATGACACGTGGTTTGAAAGTGTGGGTGTGTTTGGTCAAACATGTAAGGGTGGTTCCCACGATGACCACCGAAAGCCTGCACCCTACAAACCACACGGACTCAGATATAATTAAAGGGGTTTTCTAACCCCACCCCTGCTATGTATTGACCCTAGATTTTTTATACCCCTCCTACTAAAACATTAAAATACATTAAATAAATTTATTTTATTTTTTAATTTTAAACCTTAATATTTTTAGTTTTAACCTTTCAACTTTTTATATATTTTTCTATTATATCATTTATATCTTATATTATAATTATTTTACACTTC